ACATCCTGAGTCTCAGGGGGCACTTGAGTGATTTCATCAGAAACATTCATCAGACATCAGGCTGAACATTTTTCTCACCTTGCAGGCTATACGATGAGGACAAAACTTGCCAAAACCCAGAGGAGGAGGTATTCTCCGTAGTAGTGTTACCACATCAAGGTGCTTAATGCGCCCCCTGTAAATCACAAATAAATGAGTTTATACTCACACAAATACAAACAGAAGTGAGTGAACAGAGACAAGTATATTAAGCAAAACCCAAAATCTGGACATGTTGGTTAACTGTAGTGGTGGTTTGTCCTCAATTTAAATCAGACAAAAAGAACAAAAAATTAAATGAAAAAACTCAAAATCAAACGGCCAATGAGGCACCTGAGGAACGAATCTTGTCCAGGCAAGGATAGTGTTTATGCAATTTATTTCCACTGAAGCAAGCAAACAAACAAATGGTGTCTGCAGCCTCTTTGCCCTGGTCAAATACCATGAACTTATCCCGGTGCCGACCCATGCTAAATGTGACTACCTCTATATGTAGATTCACCTGCCCAAGCTGCCCAGTACCTTCAAACCAAAAACCCAAATAAGTACTCAAATTAACTAAAATAATAACATTAAAGTTGAAATCAAGCTAATTCTAAATTCTTTAAGGAAAAACAGCAACAAAAGAAATTGATATTTAATTATTAAATTAAATTCTAAAAAAAGAAGTAGCTCCAACACTCAGGCCCCTAAAACGTCCATATTTTCCAAAAGAGCTCAGCAATACACTGTACTTGCTTCCATCTTCTTTCTAATATACAAGTCATTCTGCTCAAAGAGTCTGGTGAGAAAAATGGGTTTTCCTTTTAGCAGAATATTATGGTTTGCTGCAAGGGCCTCAAGGTTATTAGGGTCATCGGAGACCTTTCTAATGGGTCTGTCGTTTGGTATTGCCTCTACCTCGCTGGCCATTTCCAGGTCTGAAAAAACAATGTATTGCCTTTTCTGCTTCATCAAAACTTTCTGGGGTCAAGGTTTTCCCTCCATTTGTGGCTTTTAAGCTCTGAAGTTTCTGTTTGACGGAACCTTTAACTCCTGCATATCTTTGTCACTCTCAGTGGCTTTAAGTTGTTTTCTCTTTTGACTCGGAAGCAAAAGAACTCTTTTAAGCTTGAGGAACCAGGCAACAGATGTTTTAAGCTTCCTCCAAGATTAAAAGTAATTGATGAGATGGTCTGTGGGATCTTCTGATTGCTTGACAATAGCATTCACTGCTACTTCTCTTTTGGCCTCTGGGTCATCAGCAGGAATCACAGCTAAACCCATGTCAGAGGTAGGCCACTCCTCTGACAAAAAGAAAAACTCTGGACCTTTAATCCATTTCCTGTGTGTGAGAAATTCCTCTGCTCTCAATCCACGAGATGCTTCATCTGCAGGATTGACCTTGGAGTCCACATACACTGGTCAATGTCTGTGGAGCATTCAGCCAGAACTGCTGCTGTGAGCTCCAGATAAGGAATGGTGATTTGCTTCAGGGGCGTAACTCTGGTCTTTCCCACAAGAAATGAAACATGCACTTTATCACCATTTTTCAGTCTCAGGTAAGACACCATACCATATCCAACTGGACTGGCATCTGAAAAATTATGAATATGGGCTGTTACAGATGTTCCAAAGTCAGAAGTTTTAATGCAGAGATCCATCTTGAATCCTCTCACCAATCAGACCACTGTTAGAGAAGGAAGGGGGTATTTGTTCATCACAGTTTCTTCTGCAGAAGCTCCTGCAACATTAACTTAGCTGGCATGATTAAGGGACCCAAAAAACCTAATGGATCATACAGTGAGCTGACCACAGACAAAATGCCTCTCTTGGTCTGTGGCTGTTCCTATACTGAAGCCTTGAACCTAAATTAGTCAGATTCAATATACCACTGCATTCCAAGTGCTCTTTCCATAGGAAGCTGGTCCGTGTCCAAAGCCACTTCTTTCATCTCTGTTGCTCTGATGTGTCACAAATGGTGGTGAGCGCAGAGGAGGTGAGAGCCCAAACGCAAGACACCATGGCAGAGGTTTATTCAAACTTACTGAAACACAGGGTGTACACAGAAAGGTGCAGACAGAGTCCAAAATAAAGCCGAATCCATACAGCACTGGAACTAGGTCCAAAACAGGCAGGTAATCCAGAATAAGACAGAACACTCCTCCAAACACACGACTGAGTGTAACACACTACACATGACAATAAAATGACCGGACACAGACTGAGGGAACAAACAAGTATATATGCACACATGGGTTAACGAGCTGGGATGGAGCAACATGGGTGACTGGGATCAGGTTAACGAGGGAGGCAGACAGACAGCAGGAAAACAGAGACAGGCAGGCAAGCAGAGACAACAGGGGGCAACAGAGAGGCAGGCCAGCAGAGAGACAGTTAACCCAGAACACCCGAGTACACAGACCAAAAGTAAACACTAAGACATGAACTGAGACACAACTAGGACACAGGGCTGAGATGCAGAGCTAAACAGAACCAGTAGATGAACAAGGGAATACACAAGACTAAACAGAGAACACTATACCAGGGACCAAAACCACAAACAGAAAACATGGACCAACTGCTAAGGTTTAACTAAACATGACAGAAACAGGGAGTTTAACACAAGGCGTTAGCAACAACACAAACAGGGACCGAACTAATGACACAGAGTGGCTAAGGACGACAAGGTAACAGGACAACACTGACAACTCAACCACAGACTAAGATAACTGAACAGATAAACACAGAGATAATAATCAAAAGGGATAACAAATCAAGCAGAGGTTACAATGACATTAACAGACTGGACACAGGACAACAGACCGGACTGGACCCTTAAACAACATACTAAATAACAGATACTGAACTGATCAAATATGACAAAAACTCAAGAGGGCAAAACTAAAACATGGCCGACAAGCAGAATGTGACATGATGTTACCTGGGATTGACATCAACACTGAGCGGCTATTCGTCACTCATTTTAGGAGACTAAATCTGCCTTTATCATAGATCGCAGTCAAGTCCTTTGCAATTTGAATTGCTTCTCTCTACTATGCTGATCTGAACTATGCTGATCACTTCATCTGGAAAATCAGACACATTGACCTTCAGTTCTTCTCAAGGCATAATTGGCACAACCTGGGGATGATATAGCTCCAAACAAGTGAACCCTCATTCGATGTTCCGCTGGTTCTTGGTCAGTGTTGCCACTAGGCCACCAAAGAAAGCGAAGGAAGTTCACATGTTTATCAGGCACCTGTACCTGATGAAACATAGCCTGGATGGCATAACAAGTTGAGTTGGAGTTGCATCTATCTTCAACTCAGGCCTACTAATCAGCTCTAAACCTAAACTAAATTATAACTCATTTGAAAGCCTTGTTCTTAGTCTTTCACACCCAAGTTGGAAATCACTGCAACCAATTCTCTTCGTTATAGTGTACTGAGCACCTGGTCCGTACTCTGAATTCTTATCTGAATTTGCAGAGTTTTTGTCAACTTTAGTCCTTAAAACGGACAAAGTTATTATTGTAGGGGATTTTAATATTCATGTGGACGTTGAGAATGACAGCTTCAGTATTGCATTTTTTCTTTTAAATTCAATTGGCTTCTCTCAAAGTGTTCATAAACCGACTCACTGTTTCACCCGCACCCTCGACCTTATTCTGGTATATGGTATTGAAATTGAACATCTAATGGACACTGTGAACTCTATTGCACTGAGCAACTGTTAATATCTGCACTATTCATTTCACTTTTACAATACATCTAAAATGCAAACAAATCTTGCTCAAATGTACATTGTGAATGTGCAGTTTAATGACAATACAGTCTGTCAAAGTCTAATAGTGTTCCCAAAGAATCCCTTTTTATCTGACCACTACTTGATAACTTTTGAGTTTGTATTGCTCATATAGAAATTTTTGCCTAATGGCGTGTCTATTTGTAATGCTCTAGCTAATAAGGATGTGATTCCATCAGCTTTTAATTAATGTCCAAGTCACAAAATAAAGGAAGACTCGTATGCTAATTTCAATTAGCCCAGAGCAGTATATTACTCATCATTGTTAGAGGAAAATTACAACAACCCTAGGTTTCTTTTCAGCGCTGTAGCCAGGCTGACAAAGAGTCACAGCTCTGACAACTTCATGAGCTTCTTTAATGATAAAATTCTAACTATAAGAAACAAAATTCACCAAGACCTGCCCTCAACTGGCACCGACTTATCTCTCAACTCAGGAACCTTAGAAACAGCTGTAAAGCCTGATGTATGTTTGGACTGCTTTACTTTCCTCAATCTTTATCAACTAACTTCAATAATTTCTTCATCTAAATCATCAACCTGCCTCTTAGACCCCATCCCGACTAGGTTGCTTAAAGAAGTTTTACCCTTAGTCAGCACTTCTATACTAGATATGATTTTGTTGGGTTCAGGAGGCAGACACCATCTCCACATTTAAGAGTAGGCTTAAGACTT